TCAGCGAGTCTTTTTGGGGGACACAATTCAACCTGCAGTAGCTGTTTAGAACTGGGATTAAGAGCATGGGCTTTGGAATGAGGCCTGTTATCAAGCCCCAAAGTCCTCGAATTCCAAGTGGTACCAGCCTGGCCAGGTTACCGCCTCGGAGCCGATAAAGACTACCTCAGATGTTGTGTGAGGATCCGAGAGCGCCTGGCAGGAAATGCACCCCCTGGTTTGTAGCTTCTCCTCCCTCTTGTCCTTTGAGTTGTTATTTGTGGTGCTAGTAGTTATTAATAGAATGTGGTTGAAGCGGCCTCATCCAGAAGGCAAGGTCGCAGCGAGACTTGAAGGTGCGGTGAGGGAGGTGGCTGAGCTGAAATCGGGGCTGGCGGGGGGGTGCTGTTCCAGGGAGAGAAAATCGCTGGAGCAAAAACCTTAAGATGCTGTGATGTTGCTCTACTTTTAAAATTTTCACCCTGTGCGCTAGGGCTCCTGAGGGCTGAGATTTGTCGTGTTCACAGATGTGGCCCAGACCCCTCGGACAGTGCCTGGCCCGTGATAGGTGCTTTGTGCACAGCATAATAGTTGCTAAATAAATTAATTAATATGGAATTCTAATTGATCACTACTAAACAACTACTCTCTTTGATGTGGTTCTGGCAAGTAACAGGGATGACGTCATTCCAGGCTGGTTTATTGGAAATCCCCCAACCAGGGACCATCCACCTGACCCCCTTCCACCTGCCAACTCCTTCCACCCGCTACTTCTGATTATGAATTATCCCAAGGGCTGTTCCTCAAACAGCATTTTTTTTTTTTTGGAAGTTTCTGGAAATTGTTTCAGCTGTTAAAAAGAAGACAAGGTGCAGAGAAAGATGGTACATGGGAATTCTCAAAATATGAAATGGCTGCTTCTGGATTTTAAGAGGGTCAGGAGTGAGGTTATCAAATCCTCTGCGTCTCTGGAGGTGTGAAGGGTTCTCTTGGTGCTCATGTCTCTCTGGTCTTTTCCACTCCCAGCTCCTGAAGCCAGCCTCATTTTTGTCTCTGAACAGGCGTGGCTGTCCTTTTCTCCATTCTCCTCCCACGGGAAGGGAGCTTGGCCCTTGTGCTGTTCCATGCTCTACTATCCCAACCAGTCGGGGCAGCCCTCTGCTGTGACCGCTCACAGGCGGTGGGGGGTCTGCGGGCATCCACGTCCCCTCCTCTGAGAAGGAAGTGCCCTTTGTGTCAGGGAGCAGGGCGCACGCTCTCAGGAGCCTGCCTTCAGAACTCAAATGTTAAAGCATAAGGCAGAGAAGACGGCTGCCTCAGAATTTATAGATGACACTCCATATTCTGCGGCACCTCTCTACCTTTATGAAGTAACCTGGCAATTTAGGGGAACGGCTTCACGTGCTTGGAGCATGTCACCAGCCCCTGATCCTAGTGGATATACTGGCTGTTACCAACCACTCATCAAACGTTGGGCGGACATTCATGAAGCTCCTCTCGGGCCCAGAGATGAGCCAGTGTACGAGTATGAAGACGAGTGGGATACCCTTCCCTTCCTTGAGGGACTCGGGGGACCGCAGCATCAGTGAGGACAAGGCCTGCCGCTAACACTGAAGGTCCTTCCACGTTCAGGGGGTACCTTACACGTGACAGTATGCGTGTGCACACGTATTTGTCCATCTCAGTAACTGGACAGAGGGAAAAGCCAGGTCAGGAAAGGCGAGGGGTTTTACAACAGTTTCCTGGTGCGCAGGGCAGTACTGAGAAGCACATCTTCTGTCCCCAGGTGCCAGGGGGCCTCCAGCACCACCCTCCGCCATCCAGGAAGGAGGCAGGGTGGACCAGGCCTCTGGAAGTGTGGCTCGCCGTTGTCGGAGCGGGGAGGTATCCGTCTGTGAGCTGGGGAGAGTCCTGCGAGCCTCCACGGTGGAGGTAGCTTTTGATTTGGCCCCAGAGAAAGTGGTTGAATGTCTGCAGGTGGGAAGCGAGGTGGGGGACCAGTTCAGGCCGGTGGGCAGGTGTGCCAGGCCTGGTGCTTTGAGAAGGGCAGGGAGCAGGTGCATGGGAGGCTCAGCAGGAGGAGAGGGCTGCGGGGGCCTGGTCCCCACTCCTGTGGGGCCTATGATGGTTTTTGAGCAGTGAAATGAGTTGATGAGAGTTTTGTTTTTTTTTAAGACTTTATTCATTTATTTGAGACTGAGAGCACGAGCCCGGGGGCAGGGGGGCGGGCAGAGGGAAAGCGAGAAGCAGACTCCCCGCTGAGCAGAGCACCTGACGTGGGGCTCTATCCCAGAACCCTGGGATCATGACCTGAGCCGAAGACAGACGCTCAACCACTGAGCAACCCAGGTGCCCAAGATGATGAGAGTTTTGGTTTAAAAATGCAACTTAACAGCTGTGACAATGTAAATTGGAAGGGTCAGCTTTTGGGGCTTATCAGTCTGGATGCATTCGAAGGCTGTCAGAAAGGCTGCCACTTTATGGTCTTTTCAAGGGGCGGGAAGGAGAGGAGGAGGATTAAAAAGCTCCTGGAAGGTTCGGAGGTTGCCAGCATCTCTGCTTCGTGTGTGAGGACAGCGAGTCCCACGTGAGGCGCCTGCGGGGTGTTTCGGAGAAGGTGGTGACTGGGCAGGAGTTTGGGGGCTGGGGCCGCAGATAGAGGTTAAGGTCTCCTGAGCGTGACCCTCTCCCCGTCCCCCTGGCCAGCCCGTGGGGAGGCCTCGCGGCCCGAAGGGGGCCGACCCCATGGCTTGGGGAGCCTTGTTGGCCAGGAAGCCAAAGCAAGGAGGGCGCCAGGTGTGCGTGGGCCCCAGGCAGGGGCCTGCTCTCTCTCCTCGGGTCTGCTGGCCGGGAGGTCGCCAAGGCTCGTGGGCAGCAGCTTGCGGTTCCCTTGGTCTTTACAGCTGAGGCCGTGGCCCTAAGCAGCCCAGGGCGAGGCTTCGGGCCACTTCTTATTTCTCCCAGGCCTCCGCAGCACAGCTTGGAAGAGGCATGAAGGAAGGGAAGGGACCTGTTCCCAGGCACGTGCGCTTGGCTGGCGGGGAGAGGCTCTGCCCCTGCAGGAGGGTCCGAAGCCTTTCTCCCTGGGGCTGGGAGGAGGGGTGTTTCCCTGCCTTCTGGGACTGTTGTGGTGACCAGTCTCCTGGTTGCCGGAGCAGGGGATGGGAGACGGCCAGAAGCTCCCGACAGTGGCGAGTGGGGGCAGCTGTGAGACCAGTCCTGCATCTCCAACCTACCAGACAGACGGAGGTGCCCCTTAGGCTCTGGTGTCAGAGGAGAGTAGGTGATTGTGATGCGGGCTTTCCAGAGAGGGAAGCCCATACTTGAAATCAGAGCAGCGTTTCAGCGAGTCTTCAGATTCCCATCTGTGAGTTCTTGGAGGTGGAGGTCAGCAGTATTTCAAGCACGGAAGGTTCTAGAAGGAACTAGGTACCTTTGAGAGCCAGGTGATAATTGTACCATGCCCTTGCTTCGGTCGATGTCTAAGGTAAATTCTGTGCAGTGTGTTAAGTCCAAGAAATAAAATCAGGCTATGTGTATGTAAGTGAAACTTATTGTCCAAGTATTTCCCTCCGGGTTGGAATTTTCTCCTGAGAGCGCTATTATGCAAAGCAATATTTTCTTTTTGGTGAAAGAGCTTTCTTATTTGGAAGTAAATCCTTTGGAATCCACCTGTGGATTATTTTGACTGTCTCCCTTCCCAGAAAGGCTGCCTGCTGAGTTTTTCTTCCCCAAAGACAGATGGATTCAGTAAGGAAGTAACAAATATAACCAAAATACCCAGAAGATTATACTTGTTTAGGGCAGAGTGTCTAAGCTCATTCCTTACTGACATCTTGGGCTGGATACTGTGTCATGGGGACCATCCTCTGTAGCCTCTGTGGTCTCTACCCACCAGATGCCAGTAGGACACGCCCCCCCCCCCCACCTCTAGTGGTGACAACCAAAAATGTCTCCACTTGGCCACATGTGCCCTAGGCTCCAGCATCTCCCTTGGTTGAGAACCAGTGGTTTAAGAGGATTGTCTGCTCATGCATTTCTGTAGGAGAATCTAGGAAATGTCATTGGTTTAGTAAATCTGTTTAGTTTTTCTTAGAGATTAGAATATAAAACGGTATGGATGCCCTTCCTTTCTGGAACAGATGTGCTTAGTGTTGATACGCTCTTTCATATTCATCACTCATTTGCTCACAAGCCTTTGGGTGCGTGAGCTCCTCCTTGGTGTGAGGGCCACAGCGGGGCGGGGGGCAGGCCCAGCCAGTGGCAGTGAGCGCGCGGCGCAGGGGGTCCCCTCGAGCCTCCCGGGGAGCAGGTGTTGTAAACAGCTGAGGGTCGTCCAGCAACGGTGCCAAGGTGGATTCTCTCAGGTCAGGGAGGCCTTTCCCTTAGAATCCTTCCTTCATCTCGCTAAAGTGGCACTTTTCCTTCCTTCCAGAAGGGCACCGAGAGGGCACTTACCGGAACCCAGTCTTTTTTCACTTGCTGGAAACAGCTCCTGGAGAACAGCCCTCCGCCCGGCAAGTGGCTGGTCCACTCAGGCTGCTGCGCAGGCTCACACTTGCAGGCGTGGCCCAAACTCTGGCGCGGGGCACTCGTGCACACTCGTGTGCACCGCACAGACCGTGGTGGACTGAAAACAGCGGTTTTGAGTTTCAAAACCGTGCCTTAGGGGCTCTGTGCCTTTCTGCCTCTCTCCCAAACATTACCATTAACCTGAGTCACGACCACAGTTGTTCCTCCGGGGAAACGGACCCATACGCTCTCATATTCGGCCTCTCAGGAGATGAAAAAAGTCACGGCTCGGTACACGACAACCTGCACACCAGTTTTTCATTAACTATATTCTATTTAATAATGGAGAGAGGTAAAGTTTATGGATCAAGTCGTTAAGGGTTTTTTTTCTGATGATGGAAAAAGGGATACGAGAATTCATGTTCTTCATTTGGGGAGAAATACCTGAATGGGAAACTGCATGTGGATTTTTAATATGTGCTGAAAGACATGGTATTTTAAAGAACTTCTTTAACAAAATGGTCGATAATAAGATTTATTTTAATTTTTCAATCTGCCAAAAAAAAACCCCAAAACAAAAAAAATCAAACTATACTCATATATATATATATGTATATGTATATATATATATATACAGTGTCGACATTTTCAGAGCACTTACATTAGGAAACATTGTGTTTCTTTTCAACCATATGACAATACTGTATATGCCACAATAAAATTTACAAAAACAGTCGCATCAGCAGTCATACAAACATCATGATTATACATTTCAATACACAAGAAAAAAATAGACATCTTCCCGGCACTTTTGTTTCCTCATAACCGCTGCCTGTTTCCAGTTTCCACACGTGCTTTCAGACACTTCAGCTTTTAAAACCTAACAGTGGCTATTTTAGAAGTCCTATCCTCTCCAGATGCAAACTTAAATGAGAAATTTGCCATTTAAAAATAACAACCAATGGTTTATTAATGGGTACGGTGAAGCTTCCCCACCACGATGTGTAAAAAATTGCAAGAAAGTAAAAATAAATAAAGCTGTTGTAGAGCAGTTTTGTTTACATCATAGTTCAGAACAGACACTTAAAACATAAAACTGTCATTAAAGTTTTATAAAGTAATTATTTATATCCAAATTACAACTGTTCAACAAATCTAATGAAAACAGACTGATTTGGTAAAGGTCCACAGACTTTCACGCCCCAGCACCGTGTGGCTCCAGCTGCCATGGGCCGCGGTGATGACGTATCGCGTGTTCTGACATAAGGCACTAGGTCTGAAGAGGCCATGCACTCGCCTTATGTCATATTACCTGTTACAGACCAGTGAATTCTTTGAAATGAAAAGTAATAAAAATTTCAGGACACAGTGCACTTTAATAACATACAGCATTTGAAATCGCTCAGACAGAGGTCTGAAAACAGTCTTTTAATGCAAGCCTGAATCTTCAAACACATAAACTCTGTTTCTTATGCTCAGTTTCAGTATCACTGGAAAAAATACCCATCACTAAACCCTGATATACATTCTTAGCCATTTGACTGTCTTCTGTCACGGTCAGTGTTCATGAGGCAAAGCGTGACCCAGAATCTCTGTTCAGGTTCTCCTCCAAGGGCTTCTCCACTCACAGTGGTCATTCTGCTTCCGCCTCCTTCTGTTTGGCACCTGTTGGTAGATGGAGAAATGAAAGTCTCAAAGCAACAGAAAAACACGTCGCAGCTGGGCCTGTCCTACACGTAGGAGCAGTGGTTCCCCCCCCCACCCCGCCCCCCGGCTTGGTGGTCTTCACACGTATTCTGCAGTGCCTTAGGAGAATGTTCTAGGTGTTGGGAGGTGGGGACAGGAGACAAGCAGGTGGCTCCAAGCGCCCCACCCCCACCTGCAGTCACAGCAGCCCACTTCGAATCTGTGTTACCATGTCAGAAGTCAAAATATGCAAGATTTAGTTTGAAAAAAAGAAAAAAGGGTTCTAGCAGCAGAACTGCTAGCATTTTTAAAAGAAGGGACGCATGTATTTTAGTGAAGGCGCACGGTGCTGCTGTCACACAGAACCTCCTTCCTTGTGCTTCGCGTTACTGCACGTTGCAAAGCAGTCTGTTCTTACAAACTGAAGGTCTGCAGCAGCCCTGCATCAAGCCAGCCACTGGTGCCGTCTGCCAAACAGCACTTGTTCCGTGTCTCTGTCACATTCTGGGAATTCTCACTGTGTTTCAGTTTTTCATTATTTTACCTGTTATGGTGACCTGCGATCAGTGATCTTTTTCTAAAAGATTCATTTATTTTGAGAGAGAGATGCGGGGGAGGGGCAGAGGGAGAGAATCTTTCAAGCAAACTCCCTGCTGAGCGTTGAGCCCAATGCGGGACTTGATCCCACGACCCAGGAGATCATGACCTGAGCTTAACCAACTGAGCCACCCAGGCGCCCCTCAGTGATGTCTGAGGTTACTGTTGTAATTGTTGGCACCACGAACCACACACATAAGACGGCAGCTTAATAAATGTGTGCGTGCTCACTGCTCCACTGACGAGCCTTGCCCCGATCCCGATCCCTCTCCTCGAGCCCCCCAGTCCCTAACACAGTTCAGCAGCTAAAGTAGGAGAGGAGAAGGCAGCGCCCGGCTGCCAAGCTCTGCGGGACAGGCCGCCCTCTCGTGAGGGGCTAACGCGGCCGGTGACCTGCACTTGAAGCCGGCGCTCAGGGCCGTTCTGAAAACCCTCGGGCGCTCAAGAACGAGGCTAAGTCCGCTCTGCCCGTGCTCTCGAACCGGGACGACGAAGCGGCAGCAGGAGAACAGGACGAGGAGCGCGGCCTGAAGCGGGGACCGACGTGCCGCAAGCTCAGGAGCAAACGGGACCGGCCGAGCAGGTGCTGCTCCGGGACGAGCCAAGCA